CTGAGCCCCCGTGCCACAACTCCTGAGCCCATGTGCCACAACTACTGAAGCCCACGTGCCTAGAGCCCATGCTCCACACAAGAGAAGCCACTGCAATGAGAAGCCCGCTCACCACAACGAAGAGTAGCCCCCGATCGCCGCAACTAGAGAAAGCCCGAGTGCAGCAACGAAAACCCAACGCAGCCAAAAAAAAAAAAAAAAAAAAAAAAAGATACACCTATTTGAGCCTCAGTTTCTTCACGTGTTAAGTAGAAATAATATTACTTTGTAAGGTAACTGTGAGGATTAAAAAAAAAAGGATAGTGGCTTGGAACATAGTATAAAATGATGATAATGATGATTTTGAAGCCAATGGTTTCAGAGGCTGATAAAATAGCAGAGCTGTTTTATTTGGCAAATCGTCAAATAGGAAATTTCTCTTGCATGTCTACAGTACGATGATGGCTGACTCTCAGAAAGTTGACTTCTACCAAGAAAAGAAACTGAGCATATTAAAACCAAACAGTAGTAGCAGCAGGAAGAGGAAGAGGAAGAAGAAGAAAAAGAGGAAGAAAAACAACAAAAATATATGTAGTACAAATTTTATAACATTAGAGGTAAATGTGAATATCTTGGTCTATACAGACCTTAAATCTTTTTAAAATTTAATTAATTAATTAATTAATTTTGGCTGCGTTGGCCTTCGTTGCTGCACGTGGGCTTTCTCTAGTTGCGGTGAGCGGGGGCTGCTCTTCGTTGCGGTGCGTGGGCTTTTTTTTTCCACTGCAGTGGCTTCTCTTGTTGTGGAGCACGGACTCTAGGTGCGTGGGCTTCAGTAATTGCGGCACGTGGGCTCAGTAGTTATGGCGCATGGGCTTAGTTGCTCAGTGGTATGTGGGATCTTCCTAGAACAGGGCTCGAACCTGTGTCCCCTGCATTGGCAGGCGGATTCTTAACCACTGCGCCACCAGGGAAGTCCCCAGAGCTTAAATCTTAAAAACACATTCACATGTATTATCTCATTTGATCCTTACAATAATCTTCTGAGGCTGGTAGAGCAGGAATTACTGCTTCCATTTTAGAGATGAAGATATGGAGGCTTTGCAAGGGTAAAAGGTTTGCCCAAAGCCAAATGCTAACTAGTGGTAGAGCAGGGACTAGAAATCAGGGTTCCTGGGTCTAAGCTCAAAGATTGTGAAAAAGAAATGATACTGGAAATACCATCCTCATGAGAATAACCAGTGGAAGAATTATTTCTCTTAAACATAGCTATAGAATCAGATCTACTTTAAGGCATCCTTGAGGAAATCTTGGGTGCTCCTTATTGGAGCAACGATTGGGAATGTGAACTGATGATAGTGTATACAGTGTGATTAGCTTGGACAGTATTATCACCATGTTGAGCTGATCATTTAACTCTTCCAACACTGGACTCTACCAGTGTGGATATAATTCTTTTTTTTTTTTTTTTTTTTTTTTTCTTGCGTTATGCGGGCCTCTCACTGTCGTGGCCTCTCCCATTTGCGGAGCACAGGCTCCGGACGCGCAGGCCCAGCGGCCATGGCTCACGGGCCCAGCCGCTCCGCGGCATGTGGGATCCTCCCGAAACGGGGCACGAACCCGCGTCTCCTGCATCGGCAGGCAGACTCTCAAGCACTGCGCCACCAGGGAAGCCCCAGTGTGGATATAATTGACCCAAGGCTCTTAATTACTTCATTTGATGGAATAAACAATTATGGAAGTTGTACTGAGAATGAGAACATCTTGCTAGACGTATGATGCTTTGACTTTTTAAAAAGTGATTTCAGAAGTATATTTCTAACACAGTAAAAATCCATTTTATCTGGAGAAATGTCAACATGCAACCTCTCTCTTAGCTGGCATTTTCCTGTATCTATAGTAAATGGAATCTGATGCTCAGTACAACCTACTTGATGTTTCAGGATGTTTCGCAGGATTCTGAATTGACTTATGAATTTCTCAAGATTAAATTAAATTATACTCAGCAGAGGCTACCTTGAGTGTTACTTATTTTTTTTATTCTTATGGTAATGCCTTATTAATCAGACAGCACTGTTAACTATGGCATCCATTCTCACCACCATCTTCAGAAGTCCAAATGGGAGAAAGTTGAAGAATTATATTTTCTTCTCAGAATTCCATTCTAATTTATGTATACAAATCTAATGAAATGATATAGTTCAATCAATCACCTTATGTTTCAATATGACAGATTATGTGGTTCAAAAAACTCAGTAATGAATGATGTCATTTAACACCACCAGAGGGAGTTATTGAGCCACAGAGGAGAAGTGACAAAGAAGTCACAATCCCCAATTTAAATCAATCCACAATCATATGAGACAGGTCTTTTAATTCCTATCTTACAGATGTACAGAGAGGTTAAATATCCTGTCTACATCACTCAGAAGGGTCTGAATGGTAGCAAGTGGGACATGACTGTGGTTATGGCAACCACTTTGGAAATATACCAGGCAAGATTTTGAGCTCTACTGGAGAGTCCTAAGCTATCTGGAGACCTGTGCTTTAAATCTACTAATAGACAGGGGTAAGACAGGAATAAAGACACAGACCTACTAGAGAAGGGACTTGAGGATATAGGGAGGGGGAAGGGTAAGCTGTGACAAAGTGAGAGAGTGGCATGGACATATATACACTACCAAACGTAAAACAGATAGCTAGTGGGAAGCAGCCGCATAGCACAGGGAGATCAGCTCGGTGGTTTGTGACCACCTAGAGGGGTGGGATAGGGAGGGTGGGAGGGAGGGAGACGCAAGAGGGAAGAGATATGGGAACATATGTATATGTATAACTGATTCACTTTGTTATAAAGCAGAAACTAACACATCATTGTAAAGCAATTATAGTCCAATAAAGCTGTAAAAAAAAAAAAAATCTACTAAAAGAAAGTTTCGAGCTTCCTGTCGCTTGAAATCCATGACTCCTCTCTCTGACCGGTTATTCCCAGGAGTCACTATTAAGTGTCTATTTTTGGTATATGTGGTACATATAAATGTACTTTAGGCAACAAAGGGTGATAAACATTTAAGAATAGTCTTTAAATCAATGTTTTCACACATAACATGAACTGTTATTAATCAACAGGTTTACTATGTGGAGTGAGAAGAGGCCTTAATCAGAACCTCAAGGAACAGAGACACAAGGGTCAGGCAGAAGAGAAGTTCATAAGAAGCCTCAGAAGGAATGGCTACACAGAGAGGAGAAAGTGAGGTCATGGAAATGAAGTGAAGAGAGCGCTTGGGAAAGGGAAAGCTAATTTAATAAAGCAGGACAGGTATAAAGTTTTAATTCATTCAATTTTAAAATTAGGTAGAAGGAAAAAAAACATTCTTCAACAAACAAAACCATAAAAAATATGCTGCAGACCCATGTTATGGTTTTTCCCTCTAGATAATCTTATTTCCTTTCAGGGAAAAAAATTCAAGGCCAAAAAGGAAAAAGACCAACAGCATGTAGCCTCTGGTCTTCCAGAGCCTTACTTCACTTAGGCCTATGCTTTTATGCACAAGTTCCAATTTCTTCTCATCAATGATTCTCTGAATTTATCTCCCGAGAAGACTGCATCATCTAAAAAGCCTCATTTCCCATTCCTACGTTTCAATAAACGTCTCACCTTTTTGATTTCCCTCTCCTGCTCTGAGCAACAACTCCAACTAACTCTCCCTCATATACTTGTATCAAACGCAACTCCAGACACATCCAAGATATCAAAACAAGCACCACATTCTGAGGTAGCACACTCCTACCAACAGAGAGTTCCAATTGTGAGTAGCTAGTGTGCCACTGGCAGAATATCTGTCACAGACAGTTCTCTCCTCCATATGCTTAAACCCACCTTGGGGAGTAGTTTCCTCTCTGGTTGCTGGCTGCAGAATGAAGGGCTAAAGTGAAGGCCCTTCACTTAGTATGAGGAGACCTATTGTTTGTATTAACCAGGGTACCCCAAAGTGCACAATGAAATCTATTGCTCTGAATAGGGCAGAGTTCAAGAGATGGTTCTAGAAAACCTCCCAGCACTTGAGGAGGTAGAGATGAGGGCTGCTGTTTTCCACGCTAATTCAGACTACATTATTAATCAGTGTAAAAATAAGCGCTCTAGATGCAACCAAAATCAAATGTCCTTTTTAATCTAATAATTTCCTGCTATAAATCATAAGCTAAATATTCTTAAACATCTCCATGTACTTTCTCACCCAGCCAAGCCTGTTGCTTTACAATAAGCAAAGATGCTCAGTGTACTGGAATATCACAGAATGCCATAGGATAAAAGAAGTTTTAGTCACAGAATAAAAAGTAAAGGTCACCACCCATTATTTGCATTGCATTAAGCACTCATAAATCCATTACTTAAGGCCACCTAGAATGAGTAGATTTGTACTGCTGTTTTCAAGGTCTGTGAATTACACAGTCATCAGTAAACAACAAGGACAGAATACAGAAAAGGTCTTATAACCTTTTCTCTCTTTTTATTTACCAACTGGCAAGGTTGGTGGGAGGATGAGTTCTGTTCTTGACAACATCCCCCCCCCCACACACACACAGAAAATTAAGCCTGAGGTGCTAACTAAAATTATTCCATTGTCTTTTTAAGTAATGAACTCATTAATTCTCATGGATATTGATTAGTGGAGAGAAATACATTACATCCCAATTAATGGGACCCTCTTAGAAAAAGGGGAAATGTTGCATAAAGTTAATTTGATTTTATAAAAGATTTTATTAATGAAATGGCTTTATATGAAGTTTGAAACAATCTATCTAGTACATTAACAAAAGTCAATATAGAAAGCAGGCCTGGTTGGTAATGCTATATTACTTTGAAAAAATAAAAAGCTACTGGTAAAAAATAGGCAAAGGAAGGGATGGCTCTCGCTATAAAGAAAAATTTCTGCCTTAATGCAAAATAGTTAAAAAATTAAAGGATGAGTACTGTGCTGAAACATTAAAATAAACTGAGAAACTTTATTCCCCTGGAATCTGGTTCCCTGGAAGGAGAAAGACATCATGCAGTAACCTGGTTCTTGTGGCTTGGCTCTTCATGGAGTAAATATTCCTTATACAACCTTAAATTTTTTAGCTGATCCTTTAGATTTCACTTGGGTGACACTATTTGTTTCTTCATATATGTAATATCAAGCATCTGCTAATGTGTTTTTTAAAAACCATAAAAACAATTTTAAGGGAGTATCAGGTGCCATAAATCAACATAAAATTAGCAAACACATATAAAAACACATCACTTAAAAAAAAAAAAAAATCACTTACCCGGAGCAGTGAACTGTTTAACATTGGTGAATCTAGACTTATCAGCCACACTAGCCATAAAGCAGCCCTTTGGCACGGTCCAGTCATTGGGCTTGCTATTTTTGTCCCTGTCTTCTGCTGTTTCATATACCTCTATGTGAGGGGGTTTCTCAGTTAGATTCTTGCTGTAATGACTTAACCCATACTGTGCAATCTGGATTGGGTAGAAATAGCCTTGAGGTCCCCATTGTGTAGATAGAGGTACACCTATAAAACAGAGAAACAAAATAAATATCTCCAGACATTCATAATCCTATTCTGAATACCACTCTTCACTGTTTTACTTCTGGGGGAGTTATAGGGTTATCAGCAACTTTTAAGCTTCCTTATTACACTGTTTTCATTATTACTAAAAACAAGTACCAAATTAACCAGAAATGAAAAACAGAACTAAATGCTCATTCACTCTCATTCATTATTTGTTGACAGATAGCAATGCAATGTTGTGGATCATCTTTTTTTTTTTCTTGCGTTATGCGGGCCTCTCACTGTTGTGGCCTCTCCCATTTGCGGAGCACAGGCTCCGGACGCGCAGGCCCAGCGGCCACGGCTCACGGGCCCAGCCGCTCCGCGGCACGTGGGATCCTCCCGAAACGGGGCACGAACCCGCGTCCCCTGCAACGGCAGGCGGACTCTCAAGCACTGCGCCACCAGGGAAGCCCATGGATCATCTTTTTAAGGGCTAATTTTTAATGTGTGCTACTTTTGCTCATAGCTACAGATGTCATATTTCATAATTCTGTTTCATACATTCAAGTTTTACACAATTTAAATACATATAGTTAATGTTACCACCTTTATTCTAGAATATTAAACCTGAAATTTTCTTAACATCTGTACTTAACAGTCAAGTTAATTACATATTAATCTTTCCCTCCGGTGTCAAGATGTGGTCTAGTAACTTTATCATCTGACGGTTAAAAGTATTTGCTTAAGAAGCCAGCTATGGGGGGCTTCCCTGGTGGCGTAGTGGTTGAGAGTCTGCCTGCCAATGCAGGGGACACGGGTTCGAGCCCTGGTCTGGGAGGATCCCACATGCCGCGGAGCAACTGGGCCCGTGAGCCACAACTACTGAGCCTGTGCGTCTGGAGCCTGTGCTCCGCAACAAGAGAGGCCGCGATAGTGAGAGGCCCGCGCACCGCGATGAAGAGTGGCCCCTGCTTGCTGCAACTGGAGAAAGCCCTCGCACAGAAACGAAGACCCAACATAGCCATAAATAAATAAATAAATAAATATATTAAAAAATAAAAAATAAAAAGAAGTCAGCTATGACTAGGCAACTTAAAGTATAAACACAGTTTGTAATTCTTTTTCATATCCTACGGATCAAAATGTAATTCTTGAGAACAAAGAGTGCTTTTTTTAAAGAATGAATTAAAGTTGTATGTTTAACCATAGATTCTTGATAAATTCATTAATGGATTACCTCTTGTGAAGTTCTAAGCAAAACTTTTAAATGTTTGGCATTAGTGTTTATTTTAGTAATTTTCTACATGGGAAATACAATAATACCACCCTGTACAGAATACTGTATTATTGCATCATGGTGTATGTGTTGAGAGATAAACTATTTGTAGTCCTAAAATAAATTAACAAGCAACAGATGGGCATGGCAGAAACTGGGAACCTATAAAACTATATGTGACAGGTTCGTGCCCCGGTCCGGGAAGATGCCACATGCCGTGGAGCGGCTGGGCCCGTAAGCCATGGCCGCTGAGCCTGCCCGTCCGGAGCCTGTGCTCCGCAACGGGAGAGGCCGCAGCGGTGAGAGGCCCGCGTACCGCAAAAAAAAACAACAGAAAAACACACTTGTACACAAATGTTCATAGCATTACTCATAATAACCAAAAAAAAAAAAAACTATATGTGTTTTGATGTAGTTTCAAAATAGTTTAAGTTATTAGAGACCATACAGGCTAAGAAACCTAGGCTACAGATAAGCTTTTTAACTTCAATATTCTTTCTCCAAGGGTAGATTTTTTTTCAAAATTCAAACAATTATTTTCACTTAATAAAAGAAAGGTTTATACTATCTTATTTGATGGGTAATAACTACAGTAATGTGCAATTGGTCTAAGAAGTGATAGACTGATCAATGGAACAGAACAGTAGGCCAGAAACATACTCTAGTAAAGATTTAGAAACATACTCTAGTTTCAAAATATTTTAGTATAACGACAAAGATTGAATCATTGATCAGCGGGGAAAAGAGGAGATTATTCAATAAACGTTAAGGGAAAAGAAATCTAAAATTAGGCCCTGACCTTGTACCATTTGTCAAAATATAAATCAGTTTAGCTTGACTAAAAAGTTAAATGTAAAAAAAAACCCCATAAAACCATTAGAGAAAATACAGATGAACAGCTGATCGTGGCATGGCAAATGATTTTCTAAGCATAAAAGGAAGAATTAAAAAAAAAACCCTAATTTAGTAAATAGAACTAAAAATTTCTAAAACTAACAAATCATAAATAAAATGAAAAGACAGCCAAATTAAAGAAAATATCTTTAACAAATGCAACAAGGTGCTACCACCCTTGCTATATATATAAAAGGTCTCACAAATATATTTTTCTAAAAAACAACATTAATCACATTGAAAAGGGGGGAAAGAACATCAAGCCCATTCTATAATGGTTAAAAGCATATGAAAAAGATATCTGACCGCACTAATTGCTACAGAAAGCAAATTATGAGATCCGTTTGTAAACAACAGATTAAAAAATAAACTTTCATGATGGCAGGAATTGGGTGACAGGAGCACCCTTATACTCTGCTATTGGAAGCATGAATAGGGTCAACCTTCTTGGAAAGTAGTTTGGTAAAATAGATTAACTGATACTATTTGACATGGTAATTTATTTCCTAGGGAACTACTCTGAGAATACAATTAAAACAGCAAATGATTAACTATGAATATCTATACCATTATGTATAATGGCAGAAAAGTGGAAATGACCTAAATGTCCAACTAAAGAGAAAGGTTCCATACATTATTATGGCATGTCCTTATTACGAATATTAGTGATTAAAATATTCAATAACAAGAGGAAATAATCATAATATGTTGAACAAAAAAGAATATAAAATTGACTATACAGCATGATTCTAATTTGTTTAAAAATGTATATCTACAAAAACAACAAAAAGATTGGAAAAGACATCAAAACATTAACAGTGGTTATGGTTGCTTTTTACTTTTTCTTTAGCATCTAAGCACCTATTAAGCTTATACACTTTTAAAAATTACTGGAAAAAAAAAAAAGGTTTGGCGATGGATATCTTTCAAGCCTCTAAAAAACTATTACCCTCCTGAACACTGCACAATAAATATCATTATAACTATGTTAAAACATATACCTAGGTATAAAGACCTTCTGAGAATATATAAAAATAGTAATAATTATCTTGAATGGTAAGAATATAAGTGAATTTACCCCCTTCCTTCTTCTAAACATTCAGTAAAGATATTACAAAAATTAAAATATTAAGATATTAAAATCACTTTCTATTTATTTTATTTTATTTATTTTATTTTTTGCGGTACGTGGGCCTCTCACTGTTGTGGCCTCTCCCTTTGCGGAGCACAGGCACCGGTTGCGCAGGCTCAGAGGCCATGGCTCACGGGCCCAGCTGCTCCGCGGCATGTGGGACCTTCCTGGACCGGGGTACGAACCCGTGTCCCCTGCATCGGCAGGCAGACTCTCAACCACTGTGCCACCAGGGAAGCCCTAAAATCACTTTCTATAACAAAATGAGAAAAATGAAATAAAACCCAAACTAAGCAATCTTAAAACACACTAAGTTCTTTCCTCTGATTAAATGATATACTTTAAAGTCAAATTCAATATGACTTTCTGATCAATCCTAGGTTTGAAATACAAATTCCAAAATGTATTAATTATACCCATAAGGAACCCCCAGGTTTTAAAGCCAATGAAAGACATTATGTAATAGACTATAGGAGTTCATGAAGTTCAGAGAAAATGGTATTACGTATTATCTTGTTCTGAGAACTGTAAACCTCCATCCAGGGATGATACCTGGCTAATCTGGTAATAAGACTTGGTACATTGATGGGTCCACTGGATGGTCTGTCTCCCTTTCCCATCTCCTCTCATAGGATATGATAATAACGTATTACGATAGGTTATTAGGATAATAACTGTATATTTTAATGCAAAATTTCTGGAGATGCTGTGCCTTGACTTTACTGATGATAATTTTAGTTTCTGGGGTAGGTTAATGGCATAATCCTATTTAATCAGGTATGATCTTATTGTAGCCCTTAAATCACACCATCTAGAAAGTTCAGGTTTAACCTGTTCCTCCCTGCTAAGTCAGAGTGACGAAAGGTCTCTTGATAGTAAGCTATGTAAGTACTTGCTACATAATTAACACAGTCTCTTATTCCTCAACACAATCAGGACAGAAAAATGCAGTGGAGTAGATGGATACCAACCTTCAACCCCACTTATGCACTTGACTCTGTCTCGGACTTCCACATTGTAGCCTTCAAAGGACATAAATACACCATCAGGGTGATAAGGGGCTCTCTGTGCATAGACTTTGGAATAGCTATGAGAGAATTCAAACCGATCATAGCCGTCATACTGAACCACCTTTCCGTAAACGTCAAAATATTTCTCTACCCAGGTGAATGGAAGAAACACTTCATTCCCCTCTCGTCTCCCTTTAATTGTGTGTTCATCATTTATGAGACAGTCAATTTCTTCATATTTGAGCCCTAACACCTTGCTTCCCCCATTGCTATTGAAGCCCCCAACAACAGGGGGCGCTTTCTGCTGTTCCTGAGGGAATGCCTCCTCAGAGTGCTTGGCCATGTGGTTCACATAGTTGTTGCTCTCAGATGCTGCTGCTCTTTTTTCTAATGCATCCACTCTGAAGCCACTACTCGAGTGCCGTGGAAACTGGATCGCTCTGTCGCTGGAACACTTATTCCACAAAAGTACTGTGACCAAAGTGAAGAGTGCGCAGATGACAATCAAAGTCTTGTAGTTGACCCGAGCTGCCAAGCAACGCATATTCAGACCATACCTATGGAGGCAAGAAGAAAAATTCACACAAAGATGTACTTACTGACATTTCATAGGATAAGATTTACTTTTAAGATACTGAACCACCACATTAGGGCAATTTTATTAACTGCATGTAATCTGATCAGATTTAAAATTACTAACTCAAACTTTTCATCAGACAAAGAAAAGGCAAGAGGTGCTTCCCCCCTCTTAAAATGCTCAGTTAGCATGATCCTCTAAAGCAAAGATTCCCAATCTTTCTCTGTTTGTGGCTCCCTTGGATTCTTAATAATTTTTTCATGAAGCCCCTAGGTCAAAAAAAAAAACCTATTGGGCTTTCCGGCTGGCGCAGTAGTTGAGAGTCCGCCTGCCGACGCAGGGGACACGAGTTCGTGCCCTGGTCCAGGAAGATCCCACATGCCCCGGACTGGCTGGGCCCATGAGCCACGGCCGCTGAGCGTGCGCGTCCGGAGCCTGTGCTCCGCAACGGGAGAGGCCACAACAGTGAGAGGCCTGCGTACCGCAAAAAAAAAAAAAAAAAAAAAAAATGCCTCCTTGGTTACCGCCCTTCCTGCTTGGAAACCAAACTCATTGTGTGTGAACAGTCACATAATTCTTTGCAGCACCCACTAATCCAGCTACATACACCCCCTTTCTGTGATCCCAAAATCAAAAATCTAAAGCCTGCCTTTCCCCGGAGCACACGGCACTCATAGCACACACCTCATACACTCAGCACCTGCTCGCAGTGTACATGGCCTCCTCGCGCCCTACAGCCACCTCTATTTTCACTGTTTCAAAAACCCCATTGCCTTGGGCGTGGCAGCACTTTAAAAGCCATGGCATCTGGGCTTCCCTGGTGACGCAGTGGTTGAGAGTCCGCCTGCCGATGCAGGGGACATGGGTTCGTGCCCTGGTGTGGGAAGATCCCACATGTCGTGGAGCGTCTGGGCCCGCGAGCCATGGCCGCTGAGCCTGCGCGTCCGGAGCCTGTGCTCCACAACGGGAGAGGCCGCGACAGTGAGAGGCCCGCGTACCGCACAAAAACAAACACAAACAAAAACCTATTACTTCCATTTGTGAAGTAGTTGGGCTCAAACAACTTAATACATATTTTTGTCCTAACGACTGAGTAGCTGTTTGAAAAAAAGATAACAGGTCATGTCAAGGTAAACACTGACATCCATGTTGCCAAATCCAACAATGAATTTTTAGTGCTCACCCTATGTTGCTTCTCAGCAGCATGAAATAGTAAACGACTCTTTCCTTCCTGAAACACTTTCTTCCCAGGACTCCCGGGGCACCATGCGTTCTTGGTTCTCCTTATACCCCGGCTGGATGCTCCTCCTAGTCATCTCTGATCATTCCTTCTCATCTCTCTGAACCTGAATGTTGAAATGCCTTAGGGCCCCAGTCCTCAGACCTCTTCTTTATCTCTATTCACTCCCAGGTGATCTCGCCCAATCTCATGGCTTTAAATACAATTTATATGTTGACTTTTCCCGAAATTCTATCTCCAGGCCAGACCTTTCTTCAGAACTGCAGGCACATATACCTATGTGCCAATCCAAGTATCAATAACTGACATCTTTATTTGAAGGTCAAATGGACTTCTGAAACATAACATTCAAAATTTAATCCCTAATCTTTCCCTTCAATCTGCTCCTCCTTTACTGCTTAGACCAGAAATACTGACTCCTTTCTTGTTCACCCCATATCCAACCAGTCAGGAAATCCTGCTGTCCCTACCTTCAAATTATACCCAGAATCTAATCACTTTTCACCAACTACACAAGTTACCAACACATCAGAGCCACTGCCATATTTCACTTGGAATACTACAGTGATGTCTAACCTGCTCTCCCTGCTTTTACCCTTGCTCTACTATTCTACCCCAAAGTCTGTTCTCAACATAGCAGTCAGAATGATGCTTTTAAGTATAAGCCAGATCCTGTCTTTCCAGTCATGATGGGAGAAGAATTTGATGCTGTTGTGCCTACTGGCCATGTGGTGTACCAACCAGTTGTGATCGTACTGTAGGTAGTCCTGGAATGCCTGTTGCTGGGGTCACTGGGAAACATGGAAAATTATGGGTTAGTTACATGTGCAACATATGGAATATCTCTGCCCACTGAGAGTAAAGAGAGTATAGGCTTACTGCTGTTTGCTACAGTAGCTCTGTAATTTATTTTATTTATGTAAATCCAAAACTACTTATTTTATGGTTGTAATCCTTCTTCCCCCTTTTCCTCTCAATAAACCCTTCTGGCGGCAAAATGAGATTAAAAAAATTCAACCCGTAAAATGAAAACGTTTAATGAAAAATTACACAATGATTTTCTGTTTTCCAAGAAAGCTGGTGGTGTTTTTCAATTAAAAGCTCATTTCTTTTAATTCCAAGAGGAGGTAAACCCTGAGTCCTTGCATGTCTGAAAGCAACTTTATTCTGCTCTCACCTTTGAGTAATAGTTTGGCAGGATATAGAATCCTTGGGCTGCATATTATTTTCTTTCTAAATGCTGTAGGCAATGTTTTACTTTCTTAAAGCATTACGGGCTACTGATGAGAGGTTTGACTTCAGTCTGATACTTGCCATTTTGTACATGACTTCCCTCTGAGTCTTGTGTTTACCCTAGGAATTCTGCAGTTTTGTGAGAATGTGTTAACAGTATGATATGTGATTCACTATTTCAGCACTTGGTGTGCCCTTTCAACCTGAAACCTTGTGTTCTCTTATTCTTGTTTAATGGATGTAGTATCTTCTTGCAGCTCTGAGTATGTTAGGGTTCTGTTTACTTTGTAAAGTTCTCTCTGATTATCTCTGTTTTCTTTGGTGGTCATTTTTCTGGTTATTTTAGTCTCTTTCATGGTGTTAGCTTTCCTCATATGCCTGTGATCTTTGTTTACTCATTCATCTTTAGGCTTGAATGACTCACTAGCTAACACAGATTTCCTCTGTTATTGTGAAGATGGTCTGCTTTTGGGCTAGATTGTTCTCCTGAGAGGGGCTCTGTGTGGGTTGGGTACAGGCGGAGTGACAGTGTTCCTTTAGGGTGTGTGGGTGGGTAGCCAGCAGGCCCTCTAAATACCAGAATGAAGATGACTTTTTCTTTTGTCCTGGGGACATAACTCGTACTCTAGAAGCCTTAGCTTTTCCCAATTTCTCTAAAGAAAATCTGGCTGGTGTTTTGGCTGGGGTTCACACCAGCTATCTATAGTTCAAGTGCAGGGGTGAGAGAGATAAGGGGAAGGAAGGAGAGGGTACAGCTGTGCCTTCTAGTACGGGAACAGAGATCCGGAAATCTGTTTAATTATCACCCTATGGTAATCTTCCTATTTACTCTTATTGGCTTCTTCATTTCTTATTTCTATATATTTTATTTCAGTGGGGCATCAGGAGGGAAGGGAGGCAAAGATATGGGTCTGGTACAACTTGGAAATCATACACAGATTGTAAGAGCTGGAATCCAATAATATATTTCATCATCTGCATTATTACTATGAGAAAATGTGTTGAACGCTAAAAAAAGAAGCGTGGTACAAGCAAACCTTCAGAAGTCATATATTTATAAATTGAGGATTTCCTTATATAGTAGCATGGGCAAACGGATAATACTAAGTGATGTTCTTTGTTTTAATTTTATTTATTTATTTTTATTATTGACTGTGTTGGGTCGTTGCTGCTGTGCGTGGGCTTTTCTCTAGTTGTGGTGAGCAGAGGCTACTCTTCATTGTGGTGCACGGGCTTCTCATTGGGTGGCTCCTCTTGTTGCAGAGCATGGGCTCTAGGCGCGCAGGCTTCAGTAGTTGTGGTGCTTGGGCTCAGTAGCTGTGGCTCACGGGCTCTAGAGCGTAGGCTCAGTAGTTGTGGCGCACGGGCTTAGTTGCTCCGTGGCATGTGGGATCTTCCCGGACCAGGGCTCGAACCCGTGTCCCCTGCATTGGCAGGCGGATTCTTAACCACTGCACCACCAAGGAAGCCCCTAAGTGATGTTTAAACAAACAAACAAAAAAAGCCCTCCATTAAAAACATTTATGTGCCAACATTTGAATCATCCGTCAGCTATCCTAACATTTAGACCAGTTAAAACAGAAATATAAAGCTTTTGTCCCACCTTTGAGACGTGCCCTTCCTCCATGACCCAAAAGAGAGTAAACCTGCTATGGAACTAGTAGGCTACCGTTATGATGAGGCATGTGATGGGAAAATAAAGAAAAGTCAAAATGAAAAACTTTCAATAACCTTTATGTCCAGATTTTGTATCTGATACCATTCCTTACTAAAAGCAATCAGGATAAAAAATTATAAAAGCAATCAGGGCTTCTTAGAGACATCAATCTGAAAGGTCCCTTTCCGATTAAGTCAAAGCTGTGAGAATTATGACTGACGCTGACTGAAACACACTGAATCAATAAAGATCCATGAGTCTATAATGATATTCAAGAAAGGAGAGAGCCAGAAAAAATACTTAAATCATCTTCTGATGAAAATTGGTAACTAAATGAAAGAATTTATTTATCTATCTTTGCAGGAGAACACACCAATAGCCCCAGATGACAATTCTATTTTACAGAAAAAGGGTGGCTAATAATGTAGAAGAAAAAAATTAAAATCAGAAAACTAGTATTATGCAATTCCTCATGAAATTACTAATTTAGCCAAGTGTTATATTCAGGCATATGTTTGATAGGGATTTAGTGATTCATACTGTGCAAAGTAACACCAAATACATTATTTCCTAGTCACAAGGGGAAAAAGGTGAGACTCTACAATGAAGGGGATCAGTCAGCACCCTAATTCAGTGGTCAAATTCAGTCTCATTAATGATGACTCATGCAGATGTTGTATCTCTTGATGAGTTAAAATAAAAAGTACATAACCTATTGTATATCCCAGCCAAAAATGTTTAACTTGGATCTCTCTGACCCTACGATTTAATTTCTAGTTAACAGGAAATACAAGGGAAAGAG